TGCAGTGGCCCAGACCCAAAACTTCCCTGATGTAATTAGCTGTTTACGAAGCATGATCTGGATTTAAGTCATATGGCCACCCTACTGCAGGCCTGATTCCATATAAATGGCCTTGCCCCGTCACCCTAATCCTCAAACAGCGCCCCCTAACTCACTTATGCTGATCACCCGGGAAGTCTTAATCTTTCCTAGAGATGCTTCGACAGTCCCTCTCAATCGCAAAAAAGGCGACTCGGAAGCTCTACACTCATGATGACTCCAGTGACCTGAGCCTGGACTTGAACATCACAGAACCAGCGGTATTTGTGCCTACGTTTACGAACAAGCCGGCTGTCCTTCGGGGTACCTGCCAGTTAAGATTGAAAAACAATCTGACGGTAAAAAGGTTGACTGTGAATTTTCGTGGGACTAGTCGTGTGACATGGCCGCATGGTGAGGCTAACGTCTTGCTTGTAGGACCATCTGTCTTCGAAACTAATCCATGACGATCTCTCGCAGGGCTTCATGACACCCAGACCGTGACAGATAGCACGTTGACCTTGGTTAGCCCACAGGCCTCGGATCCCGCACTTCCCTGCTATTCAAGCGCCCTGTCCGAGGGAAGAAAGTCCACATGGCATAGGGATAAACGCAAGCTGCGGAATGCAGCTCCGTCCACGTTATGTATGGACGGAACACACGGAAAGGCAGCAGGGCCAAAATATCAACGTCTACCCGCTGGAACACATACGTACGAATTTGAGATGGTGTTACACTCTCATCTACCAGAATCAGTCGAGATTCGACAATCCCATGTCCAGTACCGGGTTCGCGCGTGCGTCGAGTGCCCGGGTTTTCTGAAGCGAAGCTTTGCAAAAAAGCAGGCTATTGCTACGGTTCACTGTCCAGCTGAAGACGACGTGGAAGACGCTGAACCAGCATACATTGCGCGGGCTTGGAAAGGGCTGCTTCAATGTGGAATCCTCGTTTCGAGGCGAGGCGCTCCCCTCGGTGACCGGCTGCCTGTTACAGTATCCCTTACGGAATCGAGGAAATCCGAGTTCCGGGGCCTGCAGGTTTTTCTCTCGGAGAACGTCCAATATCACCAAAAAGATGGACTTGCATGCTGCCCGGGTCCTTTTAGACGCGTTATATTATATGAAAAAGTGGAGAAAACCGGACCCACTATGTCGCTCCACCGGGCCGAGAATGTTGATGATGAGCGGCCAGAATCGGCTGCGAAGGATGACGGAGCACTTGCGAAGTTGGTCGGGGATCCCGAGATACCAAGTGGACTAGAGGCTGCGGAAGAGGAGACTGTGATGGACCTTACCTTGCAACTTCCAGATTGCCATTTACATTGTGTATCGACTGGAACGCAAGGCATGCACTATGACACCAAGTACAAGAATGTGAGGGTGAGCCACTGGCTGGAGGTAAGGCCACAAAACTTGGGAGAATGACTCGAAACGGAAAACAAAAGGAAAATCAAACTAACGAATAGCGTGCAGTTTGTTTTTATGGTGTCCCCAAGGGATAATACCCTCGGTTCAAGCAGCGAGCGCATTGTGCAAAAAGTGGCGAAGGTTCCACTCGCACTTCGGTCCTGCTATGCTCAGCATACCAATGCTTCTCTGCCAGCGTATGGTGATGCCTAGGAATTCCGCTGTGGCCGATAGGTTCGGTTCGTCCACACACAAACGACTCCGACCAGCAGCAGTACCACACCACCACCCTCCATCATCTCCACCCCCTCCGCTCAAGAATGATTATAAAGATAAGCATTAATAAAAATGGGGTAGGCCGCTGGTCGTACCACTGGACCGAATGCCGCGGGAGGTCGGGAAAGCTTCGGTGGCACCGTCGATTGGCGACCGTTCCCGGTGGCGATCTCCAGCCGTGTTCAAGCCTACCCGCGGCCGTGGCCTGCATCACAGTCTACCGAGATCCACCTTCCGTCTGTGAGTGGATGATTGAAAACTCTTCAGAGAGGTTAAACGCTTCCAGGGACAAGGGAGGCCCATTATGTCCAGAAGACCCACGCTAAACCTGCCCTTGCACGGGCCTTGCCTCCACTAAGTGGGGATCTAGTGAACCCTGTGTGGGCCATCCGGTTTATCAGGCGCCATGAAGTTGCATCACTCGCTGCGCTTTCCGACGATCATCCACTTCGGAATGCATCATCCTCACATCATCGCGCAACCTGCCCCGAAACCATCGTGCTGCTCACCGAAGATCCTGTCGTGGACAGTTGGCGGTTGCCCATTCGCACCACTGGCCTGTGATGTCAGTCGCAGGTCCATACCCATGGGTGAATCCGCTGAGATGTGGAGGGCTAAGACGCTTCCAATCTTTCCCCGTGGGTGTGCCCCCCTCTGGGACGGCTCAAGTTGCGCTCCACTGTCGGTGGCCGCATGCGGTTTTCCATTCTTTTAAGTCTGCTACATCTGCCAGTTCGTCTCCTCTCCGCTGTCGCCTTTTTCTCGATCACTCTTCCTTCCTTTTCCCTCTTTCCCCATCTCCTCCTACCCCAGTTCCCCGGATTTCGTGCGCAGTCCCAGCGCTGTTTGGTTTGATCGACTCGGCATCATGGCGCCCCCAAAGTACGCTGGCATGTCTGGCCGGAAACTATCCCTGTTTCTATCAGGCATTGCTACGATGGGGTTTCTGCTCTTCGGTTACGATCGTAAGTTGTCGATCCCAGTATGTAACCATGCAAGGGTAAGCTACTAACCACTATCACTCTAGAGGGTGTAATGTCTGGTATTATCTCGGACGCCGCGTTCAATAATGTCTTCACGGCTACCAGAAACGACAATGTCATGCAGGCCACTGTCACTGCTGTCTACGAAGTTGGTCAGTAAATGTCACATCGGCATAAAATGTATGTCAAGTCACTAATCCTTGCCTTGCAGGCTGCCTCGTCGGTGCTGTCTTCGCTTTGATCTTCGGTGAAACATTGGGTCGCCGTCTTATGGTCATCTCAGGCGCTTGGGTGATGATTATCGGTGTCATCATCCAGGTTACCGCCATGCCAGGCCATATCCCCCTGCTACAGTTCATCTTCGGTCGTGTTATCACTGGTATCGGCAACGGCATGAACACCTCGACTATTCCCACTTATCAAGCCGAGTGTTCTAAGTCTACCAACCGTGGTCTCTTGATCTGTATCGAGGGTGGTATTATCGCCATTGGAACAGCGATCGCTTATTGGATTGACTTCGGTGCCCACTACGGCCCGCCTGATCTTGTCTGGCGCTTCCCCATCGCATTCCAGATCTTCTTCGGTATCTTGATCATTGTCGGCATGACGTATCTTCCGGACTCTCCTCGGTACTTGATCGCCCACGGCAAGGTTGAGGAAGGCACCCGGGTTCTTGCTGCGCTGGCAGATGCAGAAGTTGATGACCCTCATGTCCAGTTGGAGAAGCAACTGACGCTTGACTCGATCAGAGCGTAAGTTCTTTCTCGATAAGGTCTGATGGCTAGCAAAAACTGACATTGTATTTAGGTCCGGTTCTTCCAAGGCTAGTTTCCGTGATCTGCTCACCGGTGGTCCTTCCCAACATTTCCGCCGGATGATTGTAGGATCATCTTCCCAGTTTTTCCAGCAGATTTCTGGATGCAATGCTGTCATCTACTATCTTCCCGTGCTGCTGGAACAGTCTATCGGACAATCTCACGACTTTGCCCTTCTGATTGGCGGTGTGAACATGATCTGTTACGCTATCTTCGCCACCTTCTCTTGGTTCTTCATTGAGAAGATTGGTCGGCGTAAGCTGTTCCTCGGAGGCAGCTATGGTCAATGTGCTGCTATGGTTATTGTTTTCGGATGCTTGATTCCCGGTGATTCCGAGAGCGCTAAGGGAGCTGTTTTTGGCTTCTTCCTTTACATGTGTGTCTTCGGTGCCACCTGGCTTCCCCTGCCTTGGCTCTACCCGGCCGAGATCTCTCCTCTCAAGACCAGATCCAAAGCGAATGCTGTGTCGACTTGCAGCAACTGGCTATTCAACTTCACAGTTGTCATGATCACTCCTGTCATGGTCCAGCACATTGGTTGGGGTACCTACCTCTTCTTCGCCGCCTGGAACGGTCTCTTCATCCCCGTCATTTGGTTCTTCTACCCGGAAACTGCCGGTCGCAGTCTGGAAGAGATCGATTTGATCTTCGCCAAGGGTTATGTTGAGAACATGAGCTACGTCCGGGCAGCGAAGGAACTGCCCAAGCTCACCGACGAAGAGATCGAGGCCAAGGCCGCTGAATACGGAATTCTTGGCGACGAGGAGAAGGCTGAGGAGAGAATCGCCGAGAAGGATCCTCCTGCGTCTGCTGAGTTCTCTCAGTTCCAGCCTACCCAGCTGTAAAGGGTGTATACCACACACTACCACCTTCCATTACCTGGTCTTTGAAAATTTTTTCGCATGATGATATGCTTTGGACATGAGTTTTATACCATTTTGTTTTGATTTTTCTACCGAGCCGTTGCAGGACAACCAAGCTTACGCGTGTATTATCTGGCACTTGGTGCTTATTGTGGCTCTTTCCAAAGATTCTTGGCTATGGTCCCAGGTGAGGGAAGAGGAAGCACTTGTTCATAATTAACGCGTGGTTGTTGAGCAGCCTCGAGATGTATTATGGTCATCTGCGTGTAGATGTTATGTCCGATAGAGTGATCTATAGATCTGTTTGCTCTTGGCAGTTTGATACCTTTTGATTGCTAAATGAACAATCAAACCATGTCTTTGACAATATGCAAATCCATACATTTATTAGGGTAACAATGGATATCATTCATTGAACGACGATCCCAAATTATTGCAAAGCATCTATTACAAGAAACCTAAATTATCAAGGCTATCAGACGACTAGCGGCAGGACCCATGGATCAAAAGCAAACATACCTGTAGTCCGGACACTTAAATGTTTTAACCTGCAGATCCAAACTCTAATAGTTCTTCCTTCCGCTAGCGCCATCGAGTTCAAGTAACCAATAGCTCAAGCCACCTTCGATTGTGGATTCTCAGGACGGACATGCCATTGACTGCATGCATGATCTATTTAGCCCTACTGTTCAATAGTGTGCATGAGGGAACATACTGGAACAACTTCTTAGAGACAAAGTAGACACCAGTTCCGACAATGGCAACCTTGGCGAACCGCCCGAAGCCTGGAGCGCCATAACCCCGAGCATAGAGATGGCGAGTGTAGTTCTGATTAAAATAGGGAGTTGGTGAACGCATATTCGATGTGATCCATACAGGTGATAGTCTTTTTGGGCGATAGTAACCTAATCTATGTCCCCATGGTGGAATGATTGATTTATACTTGGTGAAGTTCGGGGTTCGAGAATCCTTCGCGGGCTCGGCCTCGGTCTTTAGCGTTGGAAAGACCGAGTTCTCGGCTTTTGACTTCAGTCAGCCTCACCATGAACATCACCACCATCACATAATCACTATCATCAGCTCCTGTGAGCAAGCAAGCTGGTTTAGGCAATTGCCATTCTGTATGTACTAATTTGGGTCCTATTACCCCTGTTATCTATGGTATGTCCAGACTAACACCATCCAGCTGCATACGGCATCCATGACCGACACCGAACCTCGCAAACGTCGCCGGCCCGCCAAATCGTGTGAGCAATGCCGCCAACGCAAGGTTCGCTGTGACCGCAATGTACCCTGTGGGCCTTGCACACGAGCTCGCTCATCTTTGGGTTGCTCTTATCGTCGGGTCAGTCGTTCTCCGTCACCGACTGATCACCAAGCATCTCCCCTTATCTCGCATGAGCCGCAGCGCAATGCACGGGGCCACCCGCTGCCATCTGGGATGCCAGATGGCTCAACGGTGTCCCTGGACGAGACGCCACACATTGGACCTCAATGCGGTAGCAAGGAATGCTTCTCGTCGCAGTTAGGATCAACGATCCGTGACCTCCAGCTTCGTTTACAGCGTCTGGAGGAACAATTAACCAGCCCGGACATAGCACGGCCAGAACCTGATATCCAGCAGGCACTTCGAGAGCTGTGCGACAAGGTCCAGAGCCTGGAGCAGCGACTACTACGTACGCAATCAAGCCAAGCACCGAAAGGAGAACTGGCCATTGCTGCAGCGCCTCCTCGACTACACTCCAGTTCCAAGAAGATGAAGCTGTTTGGACCAACTCATTACATGCACACGATGGATAAGGTGCGAGCCCTGTCTCCATGATGGATTGGATGAAGACTAACTATACGTAGCTCCAACTCGTAGGCTCAATGGAAACTCGGGGTCCCCAGCCACTATGCCCCGAGCTCAAGGCAGAGCTGACTGCTCAAATCAAGGAGCTTCGTTACCTCCGTGGATCAGTGAAGGCAGCACAGAGTCCCCGGTTGAACGACCCTGTGCCAGACCTGCTCTCTACCATCCCAACCAGATCGGTGTGCGATGAGCTGGTGCAATGCTACCTACGAACATTCGAAAGCATCTATCGCATCGTCCACATACCATCCTTCAACAAAGAATACCAGCAATTCTGGGACCACCCTCCAACAACACCCACTCCATTCCTCATGAAGCTGGCATTGATCCTCGCCATCGGCACAATTTTCCACCCACAACGAGGCAAAGCCGGCAAAGAATACGATACTCGACTCATCCAAACCTGGATCTACGCCGCCCAATGGTGGCTCACAGGCCCAACCGAAAAGAACACCTTCAACCTGGACGGCCTCCAGATCTTCTGCCTACTCCTCCTCGCCCGCCAACTGGGATCCCCAGGCCCATCTCTATACCTCTCCGCCGCTTCCCTCCTACAGACAGCCACAGCCATGGGCCTGCACCGCGACTCAGCCCACTTCCCATCTCTCTCCCCATTCCAATCCGAAATGCGAGCCCGTATCTGGACCACCGTCCTCGAACTAACCCTCCAGTCCTCCCTCGAATCCGCCTCCCCCATCCCCATCCCATACTTCGACACCAAGCCCCCATCCAACCTCAACGACACCGACATCCACCCAGACCTCAAGCACTCCCCAACTCCCCACCCCAGCACCACCACCCACACAGACACATCCCTCCAACTCCTTCTCCACGACTCCTTCACCCTCCGCGCTGAAACGATCCACCTCATCCACAGCCCCAACAATATCCCCTACCAAAAGGCCCTCGACCTGACCACCAAACTCCGCACCACCTGCCACACCATCACCACTACCACCACATCACCCCAATCATTCCACCACTCCCACCTCCTCACAACCCTAACCCGCTACATCCTCCACCTACACCTCCCCTTCGCCCGCGCCGCCCACATAACCCCTCAATACCACTATTCCCGGAAACTATGTCTCGAATCCGCCCTCACAATCGCCTCGTTCGCCCCAACCACCACCTCCTTCACTCCCCTCGACAACGACTTCCCCCTCCTAACCCTCACAGCCCGCGGTCCCCTCCGCGGCCCGCTAAACCTCGATGTAATCTGCACGCTGGCGCTGGAACTCATCACCCAGATAGAGGAGGCCCCGGATACCACAAACAACCCCAACAATCATAATAATAATAGTACTAGTACTAGTAGTAGACCCAGTCCCTTATTTCTGCTATCATCAACAATACGAACCCCCATCCTGCACACCCTCGAGAACCTCGCCCTGCAGAGCGCACACGTTCTGAAAATGCATGGGAAGTCGCCGGCGCTGAAACGGTATATTATCTCTCAGGCGCTGGTGGCGCAGATCAGGGCTTTGGAAGATGGTGCGGGTGCTGGGGATGATGTGCAGGGGGTGGTGTATGAGGCTGTTAGGGGGTGTTTGAGGGATGGAGTGGGGATGTTGAGGGGGATGGAAAAGGAAGGTATTGCGGAGGGGTTGGGGATGTTTGTTACGCCGGATAGTGCTAGTGCTAGTGCTGGTGCTGGTGCTGGTGCTGGGGGGTTGGATGAGATGGAAGAGGGGTTGGGGATTGGGATGGGATTGGTAAGTCATTACTTGAGTTTGGGTTGTTGTTTCTGGAATGAGGGCTAATTGTTGTTGGTTTCATGTAGGATGATCTTGAAGGGTGGGATTTGGCGAGTTTTTTGTATGTGCCTGGGTTGGTGGATTTGGGGGGTTGGTAGGGATGGTAGATGGATAGATAGATGGGGATGATAGTATGATGTTGGATGAATGAGGGTTAGAAGAATGCTGATGGTAAACTTTTTGATAAGATTAATGAGTGTATGAGAGGAAATGATCGTCTCTATTATTAAGGCATGTGATAGTGATATTTTCGCTCATGCATGGTCATGTTCATGCTAACAATGCACTCGTGGTAATATAGTATACCTCAGACCAGCAGAGGGCTAGAACCACCCTGCATACTGGTCCAACGACTCATTCTGCACACCGGCAGAACCATGGCGCACCCCGAGAAGGCGGACATTCCCGATCTTGCCCCCGAAGTCATCTTCCAGTTTGCTCTCCCACGTCTCAAAGAGCTGAGTCAAACGCTGGATGACATCCGCCTTGTCCTCGATGAGCACGGCCAGGGCATCGTACCCACCGGCGCCGGGGACGACCCCGCCGACAACACCCTCGATGCTGGTGATGGCATCAAGTAGTTCGGTTTGCACCTTGGGCTCGATAGGAACCCCGGCCTTCTGGGTCATGGTGCGGATGAGGTCCCGAGAGCGTTCGATAAGACGACGAGTATCGTCGAAGCCGTTCGGGGCTTCCGCATCTGGGCTCTGGGATAGCTGCTTCAGCTCCAAGCACAGTCGATCATTGTTGGACTGAAGAGCCTGCCATAGCATCAGGGACTCTTCCGGGTTCTGCTTGCGCCATTCCAAAACCTTCCGGACCATGGACGGGGTCTGAGAGCCGCATTCGACATCACACAAAACCATCTGCATTCCCCGGGGAAGCTTCATGCCGAAATCCAGACACTCCGTATCCCACGAATGCTTGGGGTCGGCATCTTCGACGATCGCAAACAAGCGCTCCTCGAAACCTGATGACCCAACATCCCCGACTGACTCCAAGATGGACGGCGAGAACCGCCGGTACAGACAGGAACCGTAGATCGCTGCCGCCACGTCAAACCCAGATCCCACTTTGCCTTGTGCTGCACAGTGAGCGGCCTGCGCCAGGTTGTGCAGCTTCTCGCGAGCAGCCCCGAGGTCCTCGGGCTGCAGGGTGCGATGAATGACTAGAGCGGATACAAAAGCGGTGACCAGGGCTGCGGATGAGCCCAATCCGGTCTTGTGTGCTTCATGCAGGGGCACGCCAAAGTTTACGAATCGTCCCGGAGACTGGAGGCTGGAGATTTTGGAGAAGGCGGTTTCCGAGTAGTAGTCGTTATCGGCAAGGATCGTGATGGAAAGAGAACCGAAGTCTTTCGAGGCGGCCACGTAGCTAATGTACGTCAAGGCGTAGTTGAGAGAGGTTTCGACAAACGGGTTTGCTCGTCTGCTGCAAACTTAGCCCTGGTTGCTCCAAATGCGAGTCTATGCACCTCACCCGTCGTTCTTCTGTACGACCTTGACCCCACCTCCGTTATCGCAACGCTGAATGCCATACTCCCACACCGCGTCGACAAACTGCGGGGAACGAACGACGATTACGTCCTCACTAGCTTGTTCATCTGCAGCCTCATCTTCAGTTATTTCCGCACCATCCCTGGTTTGTGTTCGAGTCCGGACATACCACTGCGGTGAGATCTTCTCAGTTGCTGAACAACGACATGGATACGAGCGTCGAGGGCGAAGACTGTGCCGGTGTAATCGCGGTCCAGGACTAGGTAGCCGCCGGTGAGAAGGACCTTTCCAGGGGCGGACACCGCCGTTACTGTGGGAGCTTTGTAGGACATGAGGGGAAGCGAGGAGAGTGTGCGGTTCGGGTATCACGAAGGAGTGGGCGCTCTATTCCGTCTGGCACGGGGGAGGAACTAAAGGGGCGAGACGGTTAGTATATAACCCCAACCAAACTGCAAGCTGATATTCAGGGAGATAATGTACGCACTGTCAGACCAGTAAGCGTGGTCGGTGAATAATCCAATGGGTTGGTAATTGCAAAGGGCTGCAAAAGCAAATCGGGGCTTGGAACAGTTTGCGAACTCCGTCAATATGGAGGAGCCCCGCTTAGAGGGGGAAGTCTACAAGTCTTGCGGGGAGAGACTACCTGCAAGGAGAAAAAAGGATAAGGAAGAGGCCCAGAGCGGATGCATGATGACTGACTGACTGACCTGCGTCTGGTAGCCGAAGATCGGAAATATGTGTAGAGCTGCAGCGGCATCCAGCGTCTGTCAGTTGTTGACTGTTGAGGTGAACTGAACTGGTTGACATGTTGATGTGCCACTTTCCACTCATTTCCTTCCAAACAGGCAAACTGTGGCTAGAGCTCTCCAGGTGTGGCTTGACGAGTGGCTGTCATCCAAGTCTGGTCCCGTGATCTGCATCTGATTACTGTTGATAGATTACCCGCCAACTTACTCCGGAGATTTGACTCGAAAATTAGCCTATGGCTATCTCTTCCGTACTTTGTACTCAGAACTGTCGTCATGGTAGATAGCCCTATGCGCTAGAGCAGCAATCGCATCTACGTCAGCGGAAGAGTGACATCCGGTGGTGGCAGTGTAGAGTTACTGCATGGGTGTCCTCCGTAGATAACAATCTAACTTCTCCGTACTGTCATCTGATGCCAGAGTGTTTGATAGGCAGCAGCTTCAAAGGATGCAGTTTATCCCGTCACATCGTGCTGTCTTAAGTGATGCTGCAGGCTCATCACGGAGCAAGAGCCATGCTGGGAGAGGGACCGAGAAGGTCAGTGGTAACAGCTCATAATCTGCTCGGTCACGCTCCTCCATCTATCGTCCTCTCACACCCGATTTTAAGGTACCCCCTAAATTGACTTCCGTCAACGGACTGTGTACCAGGGGTCCGGGACCAGAGACCAGGTCAACAGTTCGTATCTGATCAAAGGGACCAATTAGCAGTCTCCTTAATAGAGGCCACAGTGTCTTCCACACGGAGATTAGCCTGGGACTACGCCGTAAATACGTCTCGCGATCTGAGACCACAGGGCAAGGGTCCGTCATCCCTTTGGGGAGAGCCAAACCCAAGACGGAGAGTCGGCCATCCGGGTGTCCGGCGGGCTGTCGGGGTCTGGCAGTCAAACTCCGGGCCCGAAGAAAAAGAGCCGGAACGGAGGGTGACTCACTGAGAGAGGAGCGGGCCGGCCAGACTGGTCCGAACAGTGACAGACAGTGGCAGAAACCCATTCTAATGGCAGAGAATGGCAAATGGAAGACGCCAGGGGAGGATCCAGAAAATGGCGCTCCTGTTCTTCCCTACGGCCCCAGTGTGTCGCGTGCCCCGATTGGGTCTGGCTTACGATCCGGGGCTTGCCGTGAGACCACCTGATCAGCTCCTTTTGGGAATTCCCGCTCCTCCTGCGCCTCAGGCAACAACGACGCTTCTCGAAGGCTGACGTTGCTTCTGTTTCTGCCCTCTGTTTTCTTGTTTCGTGTGCCTGTGGATGCCGGAGAGAAATTTTCGTAGGATTTTTTTACTTTTTCTTACTCATTTTCTTGTTCGTCCATGGCTCATGGTCGTACTCCTTTTTTGACTTTGTAACTACTTAAGACACTGTTCCTTAATTTTCCGTAGGGGCGTTTTTCTTGTTCTTTACCCCTCTTAACGGATAAACGGACGAAGTCTACAAATTTATAGCCCAGAGGCCCTTCTTCTCGGTAATACTCAATGTCTTCCCCACATATACTAATTCCCATCACTAATACATTCAAGACCGACAATACAATTAGTTTTCCCCTTTCAGCTTGTTGTGAGGGTTCCTCATTCCGCGCCCCAGTGAAAAACTCAATTCTCCGTCTTCCCATTGGTCCGCAAAAGTACCTAGTCTCGAAACAGGAAAAGTCGGGATAGGATCGGCGCTAACCCGCTTTAGGCACGCCCGGCGATACAGATCAGCTTTCCGGCGGCTTTGAAATACCCAGCATTTCCCTCCACACGCTCTGCAGCTACTGAATTCTCATCCTCTTGTCACTGAAAGGCTTTTCGCCAAATCTCATTCTTCTCCCTTCTATCCCCCTCCCTCCTTTATCCCGCGCGTTCCTTTGGCGACCTGACGTCGTCAAATGAACCTGCATCTTCATTATTATTTTGATTGCAAGGTACGCTTTCCCGTGGCGTCTTCGGACAAAAGGCACACAAAATCCGAACTATCAGAAAATACCACGTATGGACACAGTCACTGACATTTTCACCAGCATTGCCTCTTCCCTCTGAAGAGGTCACCCGCTAGATAAATGGTCTTCAAGCCGTTTACCCACCTCGCGCGTCAGAGTTTCACCAAAGCCTTTACTCATGGCTATGCTCAATCCGTAGTCGCGGCGTCGCAGTCGTCATACGCGTCGACCACCACATTCAACCAGATTGCCAGTCAACCCGCCGCTAAGCTATCTCGGACGACGCAACTACAAAATGTTTTCCAGCCATCTAGCTCGTCCGGTGCGGGCGCCAAGGCCAGCCAGGGCACCTCGGGCTCCGGCGATTTGGGCTTGGCTGCCTACTATGCTGCCTGGCAGCATGCCCAGCAGACGGGCGACGACAGTGACTGGAAGCAGATGCAACTGAAAAGGAAGGTTGGCTGGAAGCCGTCCTTGAACGAGGATGGCGTCAAATCGAAAGAGTCCGACAACCTGCCCTCGACCGACAACAACTTCCAGAATTCGCCTCATATCACCAAGGCGTCCGCCAACGCAGATGTCAGTGCCAAGGTTGAAGAAGCTGTAGCCCGGGAGATTCAAATACAGGAGGAACAGGCTCAGGTCGATGAGGCTTCCGAAGCCAAGGAGAACACGGATACGGAAGCTTTCCCTGACTTGCCGCCGGATGTTGCTGCTGTCGCCGATGCCTCCTCCGAGCATAGCCGCCTTGCGTCAGAGCACATCACCGATTTGGCATCGGGCAAGAAATACGCTGAAATTCCCGGAGCATTTGCAACGCTTCTGCGGGACGGTCTTACACCTACGGTCGGTGCCTACAATGCTCTTCTCGAATCGGCCATTCAACTTCATGGCGATACTGCTCAGGCTATTCAGAAGGCCCTGGATGTCTACTCGGACATGCTTCGTCGCAGGGTAGTTCCCGACGAGCAGACCTACCAAACTCTGGTGCAGCTTTTTGTGGTCCGTGCCAACGATGCCATCAAGTCTAAGGGCATGCTGGAGCAGGAGCGTGTTCGCTATGGTGGTATGGAGGAGCCGGGCAAGTTCATGTTGCACTCCAGTGAGCTGGAGCGCGCTATTCTCGCCGAGGATCACTCTTTGGGAATTGCCATGAAGTTGTTCAACACTGCCGCCACGCGTCATGCCGATATCGTCTTCCCCCTCGACACCTACCGCCATCTGATTAACGCCTGTGCAAAGGAGGGCCAAGTCGAAGACATGATCCGAGTGTATGGGCATATGGAGTCCCACAATGTGACCCCGCACGCTTCGATTTTCCCGTCCATGATTGATGCCTTTGCCTCCACGGGAGATCTGCAGAGCGCTGTGGAATGTTACAACGAATACAAGGGTTTGGCGGTTTCGGACGATAACGGAACCTTCTGCATTGTGCAGCGGTTGGATGGTCAGGTGTACGCTGCTCTGGTCCGGGCGTACCTGGTCTGCGGGAAGGAAGAGCAAGCTTTGCGATTCCTGGAGCGGATCCAGGCCTCCTTTGAGGAAGTGACCGAGAACCGTGAGGCGCGTCAGCAAGCCTTGGAATCGGCCGTGGTGCAGGATGGGCTGGTGCAGCATGCGCTCACGTCGGGCGAGTACGGGCGGGCGTTGGATCAGGCCAAGACCCGGTTGCGCGATGGAGCCCTCGATCATGCCATGTCCCAGATCTGCATTGCCGCGGCGGATGCGGGTAATCTGCAGACAGCTTCCGAAGCATACGATGCTCTCCCCACCGACATGACCATTCGTCAGAAGCCCGCCGTCTCGATGCTCGCCTTGCATGTACGTCAGGGCAATGTGTCAGCTGCCCGGGCTGTGTGGCTCACCCTGAACACCACCGGTCAGGCAACACCGGACATGGTCCAGCCGACTGCCATGTATGCGGTGGCACTGTTGAAGAGTGGTCAGATCGAGGAAGCCTTGGTTCAAGCTCGCAATATGTTTGCTCGTGTCCGCAACGCTTCCGCCGTCGCTGACAACTCTGTTCTGAACCCCATCCGTGAACAGATCAACGAAAGCCTTCATCTCATCGGTCGCGTTCTTGTGCAGACAGCGGCTGTCCTCTCTCCTCAAGCTGCCATGTCTCTCCTGTGGTCGATGGTCGAGAACGGAGGCCTGATCTCCCCTGTCGCTGAACATGTCGTCGCCAGCCTTGGTCCCATCGGTATCTCTCAACTGAACGCCCGCGATCTCATGCTTGCCCTCCAGGTTCAGGCTGGCATGCTGCTCAACCACAGCGCTATGTTCGACGTGGCTCACCCCATTCGTTTCTCTCACATGCTCGACATTGCTCTGGCTACCGGGTTGCCCATGGATGCTGCCACTACTCGTGTCGTTGACCAGGCCGTCGGCAAGCTGTTCAACAGCCGGCCGGACATGGTCAAGAGATGGCACGACCACTTGGCTTTGACCTCCAGCCCGTCCTCCTTCATGAGCGGCCGCCACTCTCCCAGCTCGGATGTGTCGACGATGACCCCCATGTCCTCCACCGATGATTCGTTTGACCCTTACGCCTACGCCACCGACTTCCGCGGATCGTCGATGATCTCCGACGAGCTGGAGAGCACCAGTGGCAAGCTGGAGGCTCACCTGAACGACGCTCTTTCTCGGGTCCGCAACATGCGCCGCAACGGTCGTCACCCTCGCTACATCACGTACGCCAAAATGATCACGGCCGCTACCAAGTGCAACCGGGTCGATCTGGCCTACGAGATCCTGAGCATGGCTAGACGCGATGTGCCTCTTCTTCCTCAGTACAGCGCCGTCAAGTACGGCTGGGTTTCGATCCTGGATGCCATGGTGGCGTCGTGCCTGACTCTGGGCGACCGCAGCCAAGCCTCCAAGTTCCACCAGGAGCTTCTCGAACTTGGCTCGGCTCCTTCTGCTAACACCTTCGGTCTCTACATCACCACCCTCAAGGAATCCACCAAGACGTTCGACGAAGCCACCGAGGCCTTGAAGATTTTCCACCGCGCCGTGGCCGAGGGAGTGGAGCCTACTTCGTTCCTGTACAACGCGCTCATCGGTAAGCTGGGCAAGGCCCGCCGGATTGATGACTGCCTGCTTTACTTTGCCGAGATGCGTGCCAACGGAGTCCGTCCGACGAGTGTCACCTATGGAACGATCGTCAACGCCCTCTGCCGGGTCAGCGACGAGCGTTTTGCCGAGGAGATGTTCGAGGAGATGGAGTCCATGCCCAACTACAAGCCGCGCCCGGCCCCGTACAACTCGATGATCCAGTACTTCCTCAACACCAAGCGGGACCGTAGCAAGGTTCTGGCCTACTACGAGCGCATGCTGACCCGGAACATCCAACCCACTATGCACACCTACAAGCTGCTCATCGACGCTCACGCCTCTCTGGAGCCCGTGGACATGCCCGCGGCTGAGAAGGTCCTCGAGACCATCAAGGCTGCTGGCCAGCGACCTGATGCCGTCCACTACGCGTCCCTCATCCACGCCAAGGGATGTGTGATGCACGACATGGAAGCTGCTCACGCTGTGTTCAAGTCTGTTGCGGAGGAGCGCAAGGTGCGGATGCAGCCCTGTCTGTACCAAGCCCTTCTGGAGGCTATGGTGGCCAACCACCAGGTCGCACAGACCGAGGAGATCGTCCGGGACATGGCCCGCCGTGGAGTGGAGATGACTGCCTACATTGCCAACACTCTCATCCACGGATGGGCTACGGAGGGCAGCGTGGCTCAGGCTAAGACGGTGTATGACAGCATCGGCATTGAGAAGCGGGAGCCTAGCACCTACGAAGCGATGACCCGGGCCTTCCTGGCCAACAACGACCGGGAGGGAGCCTCGCGCACCGTGCAGGAGATGCTCTCTCGCGGGTATCCCCCGGCTGTGGCCAGCAAGATCGCCGATCTGGTGGGCACGGGACCTGCTGTCGCTGCTCTGTAGAGTGTTCTCTCACAGTGTTTTGTTTTACATCCAACAAAAGTTGCCATCCTTTTTGATTTTCGCGGATTACAAAACCTTATTGACTGAATCACTATCCGGTTTTAATTCACCAGGGCTGGATCCCTGCTTTTCGGCTTTTTCCAGCCCGATGGTCTCGGCAGAGGCATTTGGGAGGGCAACTTGTGCTGGCTGATTGATATTGTTGATTTATTTGAGACTTGAAAGCATTTAGCGAACTGGCACAGGCGTTGTGGCAGCATTTGGGACTGGCTTGTATATACCATGATTTGATGTGTTTCGATAGATCCTCTCAGCTCTTTAGTGTCTATATGAATGGACGATAAAATATTTCCAGCATATTTTCCGCATAGATCTCGATTTATCTATTGCAGATGTAGATGTAGATGTAGATCCAATAGATGGTGACGTTGAGGTGCCGAGCCGGCTGCTGGTGTTTTGGCCGCGAATGACTGCATGACCCCGCCGCCCTCCGCATCGCTTCCTCCCACTTCTTTGATCAGCCCATCTTCACTTCTTTGACTGACTCCGGCAATTGAGCATCGCACGACCAGTCGATGCATCCTTATCGCCTGCGTCTATCTCTTCAACAATCCCTCCGTCAGCTACAATCAGTCACCTGGTGTCATCATTACAGCTCCGGCCGTACCTCTACGATGAATCCTGGATCACTGCCCGATGGGCCCAGCCACGAGGCAAAACATCCCAAGAAGCTGATCTGTACGTTTTCGCAGTATATTTCAAGGGATCCTAATTACTCACTACATATAGTCGCTCCAGGAGACATCCAGACCACCTCCGAGCCCAAAATCACCCCCACCGAGACGCCCGATCCATCCGCTACAGCCATCGGAGTCACAACAGCACCAGCGCCCATCTCTCGTCTCGCCGCAGAAGCCCTTCGCTCGAACGCATCGACCCCCGACTCGGTGACTGAAAATGAGATCGTTTCCCACCCTGCCCGCGCTCACCAGTTCGTGAGTAACCCGCCCCTCACCATCTCCCAGATGCACCCGACCAATCCCCTCCACCAATTCCACAACTGGTTCCGCGATCCTCGTCTCCTTCCGTCATCCGCACCTGAGACCTGCACCCTAGCTACAGCCAGCATGCCCTCGGGCCGTGTGAGCGCCCGTGTCGTATACCTCAAGGAACTGGACGAGCGAGGCTGGGTAGTATACAGTAACTGGGGCAGTCGAGAAGGCAAAGGCGGACAAGTATTCGGCAACCACGCAGACGGCGAGGACACGCTCAGCGCCATGCCCGAGCCAGGCCAGGATGAGTCTCTCCAGGCCGGACTACAGGAGGGCAACAAATGGGCGGCGTTGACATTCTGCTGGTCGAATCTAGAGCGTCAGGTGCGCATCGAGGGTCTTGTCGAGCCGCTCAGTCGCGACGAGAGTGAGATGTACTGGCGTACTCGGGAACGAGGGAGCCAGATCGGAGCATGGGCGAGCTGGCAGAGCAAGGTGCTGTGGTCTATGGAGCCGGAGTTGCTCTTGGATCGTCGGCGCAAGAGCCTGGACCCGTCGTCGTGTCCGCAGATGCAGGTCCCCGGGGATGTGGATGCGACGGACATCGATGATGGGCGGGCGCTACTAGAGAAGCGAGTTAAGGAGATGGAGGAACGGTTTGCGGGGGTTGAGCAGATCCCTTTGCCTCCGTTTTGGGGAGGAATGCGCTTGGTCCCTGAGTCCGTGGAGTTCTGGCAGGGTCGGCGCAGTCGGTTGCATGACCGATTCCGGTATGTGAGGGTGCATAAAGAGGATGGGGAGGAGGGGGGGTATAGATGGCGAATTCAGAGGTTGTCGCCGTGAGGACACATACTATTATAAACTTATACATGAACTAGTAGTCATTGTTCAAGCTTAATCACAACACTTTGACATGTACTTAGCTGTTATACTGCATATACAGTAGCTAGCTATCAGCCCATATCCGGCAACAGCCAAGACCTCACCTTATCGATAGGGAGCGCAACCTCAGCTCCCTCCCCAGTTCCCCAGATTAATACCACCAAGGCCATCCTAAACCACCTACAACTCCACACCTCTTACAGTTCACACATCAATACAACCAATCCAACATGACCGACCCCCAATCGCCATCCCAATCACCACCCCCACCCCCATCCCCAATACAACAACAAAAACACCACCACCAAACCAAATGGCTCCTCCTCGCCCTCTCCAGCGGCGCCTTCGCAGCCCTCAACGGCCTCTTCGCAAAGCTGTAAGCCATTCATTCCCCTTCTCCCCCTCTTTTTCTCACCATACACAAAAATCTAAAAGCGAAGCAATAACAGAACAACCGACACCGCAACCACCACCTTCGCCGCGCACCTCATCCACCTCTTCTCATCCACCTCCACCCTAGATGACCACCCGATTCTAATCCTCCTCATCCGCGCGCTCTGCTTCGGCCTCAACATCCTCAGCAACATCATCATGTGGGCGTTATTCACGCGCGCCCTGACGGCGGGATCCTCCACGACGAAGGTGTCGATTACAAACACGGCGGCCAATTTCCTGGTTACGGCTGTGCTAGGTATTGGGGTTTTTGGGGAGAGGGTGGGTGGTTGGTGGTGGGTTGGGGCGGGGTTGATGGGCGTGGGGTGTGTTATTGTGGGGAGGAGGGATTGAATCTATTATATTATTCTTGGGGCGGGGAGGAGTTTGGGAGGATAGTATAGGGTTGTGTGTATGTACAATGTGTATGTTGTGTGGTGTGTGGTGTGGTATCAATGCTATCTATCTACTGCGTATCTATTCTTAGGATGGGTATGTGTGTATGTTTTATCATGAGAGAAGGGGGAGGGGGAGGGGTTAACGCTCTTCTAATTCCAGCATGGCGTCTGTCTCGTCTGCTTCGTTGGGAGCGATATCCGTCGCATCTCTGTGCTGCTCGGGGACTGTGGTGTCTCGTCGTCGAGGTGGTTGTTGTTGTTGCTGTGGTTGGGTGTGCTGCCACGGCAGTATAGACCCGATGCGCTGGAGGAGGTTCCACAGCCGTTCCTCTAATGTGTCACCACTGCTTCGGCCGTTACTTCCCCCCAGAGCTAGTTGGGGTGGACTGGTCGCCGCGAGCGCCTGTTCCTCGGCTTCGACCTTGAACTGGTACTTCAGGCAGTCCTTGACGGTGACAAGTCCCATCAGACGACCGCGATGCTCGACCAGAATGACGCGCGGTCCCATCTTCTTGAAGATTTCCATTACCGTCTCGAGGGCGAGACGGGGGTGTACTGTCAGCGGCGTGTGGTCCGCGTATCGGCTAAAGTCGACGTAGTCGGCCCCCGTGTTCGTTTGGATGTCATCGAATGTCTCCGGCGCGTGGAGATGCGATGCTGTCGATGCCCTGCGTGTTACCGATGCTTCGGCTGCTTCTTTAGTGAAGAGGCACTTGGCTGTGGGCGATAGCGGCCCCTCGGCTTTGGCACGGTTGATTGCGTATCGCAGCTCGGTGCGGCCGATGTATCCGACGAGTGTCTTTCGGGTCCGGTCGTCGACGATAGGGAAGCCTTGGTATTTGTTGTCGCTTAGTAGGTGCTCGGCTTCGCGGACGGGAAAGTCCGATGCGGGCAGTGAGACTGGGTCGGATGTCATGGCTTGGGAGACTGGTACGTTGAAGACGTGGTCTTCTTTGTTGTCGAGGAATGGAAAGCCGTTGGACCAGATCATGCGGTCGGCGATGCCGCCCTTTCCGAAGCAGTCGCTGACGGCTTTGGTGACTCCGACGACGATCTAATTATGAGTTAGTGGTAGTATGGGAATAGGTTTATAAAGAACGCACCATCGTGGGAAGAATGTAGTTCAGGGCACCTGTCAACTCGAACATGATGACCGTTACGGAGATCGTCAAATGCATGATACCACTGAGAGCCGCGCCCGCCCCCAGGAAAGCATACGTTCCTGGTGTGATGCATGGAATGTCTGGCTCACAGGACGCAAAGAATTGCGACTTCGGATACGCTTCGTGCAGCGCCTGGACGAGGATACCGACGAACCGACCAAAGGACGCTCCGATGGCCATTGACGGCACGAAGATACCAGCTGGGACCTTGCAGCCATATGATATGATGACCAGGAAGATGCGAAGAATGGTAGCTACGGCAAGCGACATTACCATAGACCAGCGGTTCTTAGCCCTACAAGTTGTGAGTACATGTTGCGCCAATCGAATGATGCCACTTACTCGCATAGGCCGTTATAGTCGTGCCCTCCCTCGCATTCCCGGAACAGGATCTCCATCATCTCCGTCATGTTGATCTTCAGGAACATATTCGGATAGCACAGAATGGCCGTGATGAGGGCAAGGACAACTGATTCCATGACGGCGTGCTGCGACAGGTACTTCTTCCTGAACGCTTGCACCCGGAGGTTCCACTTGATCACAAAGGCGCCGTACAAGCCACCAAAGACACCGATCACGACGAAGAATATCAGCTCAAAGAAGTGCCAGGTACGGTCATATTGCACTTGGAACATGACTAGTTGCCCTGTCCGGAATGGATTCATGACCTGCAGGTGTCAGCGACGAACAATCATGACATTGGTAGACATACCGCTAGCACACCAGTCGCAACCAAGGCACAGAAATAACTGCGCCATAGAGTCTTAAGGGGAAAGTAAGATGCCACTTCCTGCCAGCTAATCAGTATGAGCTTTCACATCAGCCCTGCTGCTCATACCTCGAGAGAGAACAGCACCCCGCCAATGGGACTGCCAAATGCGACTGCTACTCCGGCCGCTGCCGTTGCGGTCAAGACCTCCCTCGTCTTGGATGCATTCTGCTTGTATTTGCTGAAGAATCGCGATATGACATTCCCCGTGCACACAGCGAAATGCACACTCGGACCCTCTTTCCCTACGGACAGGCCAGATGCGATGGCCAGCGGTAGTGCGATCGACTTGATCAGCAACGTCCATGCGCCCAAGAATCCCTTCATCACAAACCCCGCAATTATACATTTGATCTCGGAAATGCCGGAACCTGCGGCATACGGCGCGAACGATTTGACGAGGCTTGCGGCGACGAACGCGAACAGTACCTAACCAAGTCAGCCCCAGTCATCCAAAACGAGCAGAGTGGGCAGGCATACGGCGTAGAAGATGTAGATGAAGTAGTTCACGATCCAGTAAGAGGTCCAAGGCCTCCACTCCGGACACCCTAAACACAAAGAACCATTAGCTCAGGCAACGAGGGGCGATCGCTCCACCGTTCCACATACCTCCTTCAGCACCCCAACAACAAAACTGCTCATTGAGATAGAACGCAGTGGTACAATGTCCCAGCTTGACATCTGAGAGCCACTCCGTAATGATGTTCAAAATCGCCGATATCAATCCAATGGCCGCCCCCACAATTGTGATCACCAGCCACGCCTGGCCGGCATCGTAGGACTCGCGCACTTTGCGTCTCCATCCAAAGGTTCCTTCCTGGTCCCAGAACCCAGATCCATCTCGTCGCTTGGCTCTCCGACGTGCCTGCTCATGGACCGCATCTTGCACCCAGTCAATGGTTGTGAAATCTTCGTAGCGCTTAATTTCGCTGATCTCCTCGGTGATAGCGGAGGGCTGGCCATTTTCCGGGGTCGGGCGCTCATGGATCGGTGAGACGACAGATAAGCCTGATAACCTCCTCCAATTCCGACGCTCAGACGAGAGGGGAGGCGGACGAGCCGAAGAGGGTGAGATAGGCATCGCAATTCATTCCATGGACCGACAGCGCAAGATGAGCATAGCTGAAGCTAGTAAAAGGGGAACTCTGGGGGGGAGAGGGAATTGTGTTGGACCGGAGATGACGACGATAGGATGCGCGGCCGCCCACGTGAGGGAGCCGGACTATGTTCCGCTCTCGGGCTTCTCCCAAAACGAGGCTGAATAGACAAAGAACAAAGTGCTGGGATGTTGGACAATAGAGTGGAATGTGTAGATCTGTAGCAGGGATATTTCATCGAGTGCGGGCTGAAATATTGCCTAAGAAGCGTGAAGTAATCAGCTAGTATTGATCCTCTTCCGAACCATACATTATTCATTTACTTTCCTCTTCCGCCACGCGCGAGAGTGGATTTCGACGCCGCACGCGCCGGATTTCCCCTTCTTTACAACTTCACTTACTGGCTTTGTCTTTGCATCAACACAGTCGCTGGGGTAAAAGTACTGCCTCAAATACACCTAATACTTCGTGTCATTCTCGTCAGGTGTATTCCGGCATCGTTCAGAGCATTACTTGCACAACTATCTCTGACGCGACAGTCGCGATGCCGCCCAAGGACAAAGCTGCCGCGGAAGCATCATCTTCCCAAGAGATCACGGGCCAGAGCGCACTTCCCAGTATGTGCGACACTGTTAGCTATACGTGCAAGACTAACTTGGGCTGAAGTCTCGCGGATCAAGAAGATTATTCAATTAGATGACGATATCGTACAATGTTCGAGCAACGCTACGTTTGTGATCGCAATGGCTACGGTTCGTGACTACGATGCTTTCTCCCCTCCAGTTAATTTCGAGGCGATCGATAACTCACGTTGCTTCCACAAATCAGGAACTGTTCATCCAATACCTTACCGAACAAGGACACAACGTCGTTAAATCAGAACGGAAGCCGCGCAAGCTTATCCAATACAAAGACCTGGGTTCGTGGCCACTGGGCAGAGGGAATGATAAATATACATTACTGACGGATGGATCTCCAGCTACGGCCGTATCACACATCGATAATCTCGAATTCCTCTCTGACGTGATTCCCAAAACCACAACCTATAAGCAGTTCAAGGAGAAACGGGCAAAGGAGAAGGAACCCGGACCCGAGAAGGGACAGCGCACATTAAACGGCAATATACCTGCAGCGGTCGAAGAGAAAGAGGAAGTCGAGGAACAACAGAGTCTACAGCCAGTAGAGGACAAGCCTTCGAGGGGTTCTCGACCGCCAACGGTGACAATGATGGTGGATCGAACGGTTGATGCATCTGCTGGAGATCAGGATGTCGAGATGACGGACCAGTGACGGATTCCGACGATTATGAGTTCTGGAATTATATATATATGTGTGTATCTTTGCATGGTGGAGTTATTTGGGAGGGTATTATTTTGCTTGGGTTTTGACCTGTGGGTTAGTCAATTAAAAACATGCTGTTAACTAGTTGATTTCGCATTGGCATATTCGGATACTATTGGGGCAGCGGAATGGAACGGACGACGGGATGAGCGGGAGGAAGGGAGTGAACGACGAATGGCGTAATGCGGGTATATAGTTGTTAGCAAAACAAAACAAAAAGGAATAAATGAATGATCATGAAGACACATAGGTTGTTGAGGAAATAAAAGTAAATAGTAAGAATGAAAGTAGATGTGTATACTAATTAGTTCGTAGTAGTAGTGAGTAGTAATAGGCTGTGATGATTGACTGTCAGGTGAGAAGCCTGACTAAGACGGGACGACGGGCCAATGAAACGCCCCGTGATTCCGATCGCTTGTCGTAGCGAAAGCTTTGGTTCGACTCTTTCCGTATGCCGGGCCTCCGACCTCAACCTCGACCTCTTGGGAAAATCAAATCCTCCCTCCGTCCTTATCTCTCCCTCTCCACCCCCCACACCCCAACCCACCTCCCTGCGGTCGTTCTCTATTGCAATTGATTGCAATTGCTCGTCTCGCCATGTCTCTCTCCGCCGCTTCCAGCTCTATCCTGCGCGCTTGCGCTCGGCAACAACTGCCCTCTTCTCGCGCCGCCATTGCCTCCTGCCAGCAGCGGAGGGGAGTCGCTGATGCCTCCAAGTCCACTTTCGATAGCCCCTTCGGCAGCTCCAAGGAGTACTCTTCCACCTTGAAGATCCCCGATTTTAGCAAATACCAGTCCAAGAAGCCCCCACGCTCCAACCAGGTCTTCTCTTACTTCATGGCCGGTTCCCTCGGTCTGGCCTCTGCCGTCGGTGCTAAGGCCACTGTCCAGGGTAGGTACTTTTGGAGATATCAATGTTGCGCATATCCAAGAGAGAAAGAGGCGGAAAGACTAGGAGACGGGGATATCAGGTTGAACAATTGAAGGGAATGGATGTGTGCTTGACCGCTCGGAACAAATCGCTGATATGGAATCTCTCTAATCACTAGACTTCCTGGTTAACATGTCCGCCTCCGCCGATGTCCTCGCCCAGGCTAAGGTTGAGATTGGTCTCGGTGCCATCCCCGAGGGCAAGAACGTATGTTCCATATTCCCGAGCCATAGTCCTCTGGCTCGTTCCCCCTTTGCAATCCGGCATTGCATCTGACCCATTCCGAAACAGGTTATCATCAAGTGGCGTGGTAAGCCCGTCTTCATCCGTCACCGCACCCAGGACGAGATCCAGGAGGCCCAGAAGACCGAGTGGCAGTCCCTCCGTGACCCCCAGGCCGACGAGGACCGTGTCCAGAAGGCCGAGTGGCTTGTCATGCTTGGTACGACATCCCCTTCTCCCCCGACCCGCCATTGTCCCCCCATCTAATACAATTTCCCCCATCTAGGTGTCTGCACTCACCTTGGTTGTGTCCCCATCGGTGAATCCGGTGACTATGGCGGCTGGTTCTGCCCCTGCCACGGTTCTCACTACGACATCTCCGGCCGTATAAGAAAGGGACCCGCTCCTCTGAACCTCGAGGTTCCCCAATACAACTTCCCCTCCGAGGACACCCTCGTCATCGGTTAAACGATTTAGAGAATTGATTCGATCTTCTGAGACCGCGGGAATCGGGCGATGGCCGTAAGAGCAGAAGTAGAAGTCGGAGAAAGGGGAAGGGAGAGAAAGAGAGACAGAGAGAGAGAGGGAGAGAGAAGGTTTGTATTTGTGCAATAGACGAAAGCCTTCCTCTCTCTTTTCTCTCTCTCTCTCTCGCTTTCTACTCTATTTTGTGTGTCTTTTTTTGTCAAGATTAAAGAGACCTTGTGTTTTTAATATGGACCCTGGAAAAATGAGCCTCTTGTTCTATTACAGTTTTCTTAACACTGTTTTCTTTTTTTGCCTTTCCCTTTTTCCTTACTTCCCTCCGCTTGCTCATAGAGAGCCTGTATCATTCACTCGTTGTTTCTTCAGGGTTCCCCCCTGTGATTCTTGGCTTTTCGCTCTTCGGTATAGACGTTGTCGGGGAGGATGTGTGAGTGGGTGAGGATGGACATACAGATGTGTATTTATCTGTTTGTATGTTTGATGTTGACTTTGTTTCGTATAGTCGCTACTATCAATACTGTTTCGGTTTCTTTTGTACTAAGACGAGGTCACTGTTCCTTAGTACCAATACGTAATGGTATATTCGACGACATATACTATGGATACAGGTACACCAATTGGATCTGAAATGTCTATCTATTTATACATTTATTTATCTGAACGCTGTACATCTAATGACCAGGATGAACATCACATGCTAATAATTACATCAATCAGGCTATCAAACAGATCAATGAAGATGACCTCATCATCACCGTTGCCGAATAATCATCGACAACAGGCCGATCACCGCCGCACCAGCAGCAGCGCTTTGAAGAGCAACAGTGGAGAGATCTCGTTGCGTGAGCACGACTTGACGGTCACTGAAGAGATCGTGGAGGTATTGGCGCAAGGATTCAATGAGAGGAGAGACGCGCGAGAGCTGGTATTGGATATACTCCTTGATATTGTCAGGGGTGGGTTTGCTGACTGTGGTATTGGCTGACGGTTCCGCATCAGCCGGGTCCGAACTGAATACCTCCGGTTCGGTGCTCTCGATCGTGACGATTGCATCGGTATCAGAGATCGGTTCGTCTGCGGTAGTAGAAGCAGACTGTTCGGTAGTAGTAGTAGTCTCAGCGGTCTCGGGAGTCGCAGGAGAGGCGGTAGATGTAGTAGACGATTCCTGCGCCATCTGGCTCTGAGCAGACACGATCTGAATCCGATCAAGGGCCTTTTCCTTCTCAATGGCTTCAATGACCTTCTCTTCAAAGCCCTTGACGAGTCTCTTGCGACGCCAGGGTTCCACGGCGATCTGGAAGATCAGGAAGAGAAGCACGTTGACTCCCATCAAACCCCAGGTACCCCAGGTACTCATTTGGCGGATCTTGTCCGACCAGACTTGTTCCTCGTGATACCGGGACAGAATGCTCTTGCTCAATTGCGCGGCAGCCTCTTCGGCCTCGTGTTCGGCCTGGCTCAAAGCCTCCTGTGCTTCGTGCTCGGCTACTTCGTTGGTGTGATCGTTGCGGTAGAGATGGGTGAATCGTTCCAGGTCAGTGGGGGACCAGGCATGTTTGCGTTGAAGAAGCTCGTTCACTTCGCGCTGAGAGGTCGATCTGTTGTTGATGGCAGCTGCGTAGGCATCTTTTGCTGCACGGACTTGGAGGCGGGCGTTGCGGAGTCGCTCCTCTGTTTACCCAAGACGAAAGTTAGAAACAATACTATAATGACAATGCTATGGAATAAGAGCGTCACATACCTTGTGTATGAATCTCTTTTTTCAGCGTCTCAATCGCTGAATAGCCCGTAAGATCGTTCAATCGCTGGCCTGCCACGAAAATGTTGGATTGGAGGTTATCCATCACATCACTAAACCGCTTGGTAAATTGTGACCTGCGTTGCTCTATGTATGATGGAAGCCCTCCATCTCTCCACCCCTTTCCATTGGCCTCGCTCTTCTCTCCTTCTTGCTGCCGCTGCTGCTGCTGCTGGCTCTGTGTACTTTCTCCCGCCTCCGCAGCAGCGGGAGGAGTCTGTTGCTGAGTCCCCGCATCGGCTTGTAGATTTGCGTTCCCTGCGGGAAGAGCTATGACTGGGCTTTCATCTTCCTTCGGCTGCTCAGCAGGCTTCCCATCTTTGAGGGGATCAGATGAGTAAAGCGAGGACTGGGATCGGAATTGACATTGCAGACAGATGGAGAAGTTCCGCGGTGCAGGGTAAAGAGAGTTCGGACCAACGGCGGGCAGGAGCGGTCGTCGTACTGGGCGGGTTGTTCGGGTGAGGTTAAGGGTTGATTTGAAGGACTGCCTGAGCAGCAATGGCATAGACTGCATGGCCGTTGCTAAGGCCACTGGGACGTCGACCAGACAGACGCTGGGTTCGTATGTTGTGCTGGATTATCGGGTGGGTTTGAATGCTGCTCGGCGCCGGGAGAGAAGGCGGTCATGCGGAATCGCCGCGGTTCTGCACGATTCTGGTGGGTATTTTAGTAGCGCAACATTGGGGATGGTTTTGTTGGTTCCGACGAGACTATTTCTCGTGGCATTATTAGAGACCTTTGCTCGTTTGTTCGATTTTTTCTTTGCTTTACATAGTGTATATCCTGTTCGCATAGTAATTTTATTGGTATCAGAGTGAGCTAAACAAACGTGAAACGACATTAACCGCCTGGTGTCCTAGTCCGCTGATACGAAAGAAAGTGGTAGAATGATGTAGACAATACATGATTAACAACGTCATTATGCGTGATCGCAGAGTTAACTGCATAGAAAATCTCCAGCGATGGAAGCCACAGAGCAAGAAATGAGTAGGATGTGTATAGCGAGTGAACTCTCTTGAAGCAACATCCCCGGGCACTGACCACTCCTAGCGCACTAAATGCGAATGGAGCTGCCGGTCTTCCCTTGCTCTAAGGCATTCAGTCCTGCACTTTATGATCTCCCTTGACGGCCTCAGCATAGGTAGGAGGTGGGCGACTATCCGGGTGATCCTGGCTGCTGCTGCCAGCTTGGGCTTGTTCATGAGGGTGATTCGGGGTAGGTTGCCGGTTCTGTGGCGGGGCGTTTGCTGCTTGGGGCTGTTGTGGCGGCATTGTACCATAGCCCCTCTGGGAGGGGTGCTGGATCGGTTGGTGGGAAACATAGTAATATGTTACGCGGCCGTTTTCCGCATCGCCAGGAAGAGGCTCATAGCTAGGGTCATCATAATCTGGTTCGGGGTACTTGAGTATAATGTACCAGGCGTGTAAAAGCCCAGGCACGTAGCCAAGGCAGCAGAGAGCAAGGTTGATGATGGAATCGGCCGTGCAAATGCCTACTTTGATCCACACTGAGCCAGTCGGTTAGCATGCGCCACCTCATGAATGCAGTGTGCGATGAGTACTCACCCGAAACTGGGGGGAAGAAAACAGCGAGAATTGCTAGAAAGATATCTGAACCACACATGGCTGCAATGGTAGACTAGGTACTCTATTGATCAACCTCCTGACCATGCAAGTGTTCACTGTAAGATCTTGGTTGGTATCCTACGGTGTAGGGATTAGTATAGGAGAAAGTACGCATGAATCCTGAAGCGGCAGGTAGTTGGTGGGATGACGAACGATAAGGATGGATGGATGCCTGCCTGAGCCTCCAAGTCAGATGACGTCGTTAATATCACCTGACGGCACGGCTACTACTGTGATTCA